GGAGGGTCGGCGGCGACGGAAGTCCGCTGCGGCGGAGAGGGCAAGGGCGACGGAGGGCGGAGTGTCAGGGCGTCTCGATTCAATCGCCGCTACCTGCCGGCCGGCCCGGGAATTCAATAAGCGCCCGGCGCACGCCCTCGCCCCGTGCCACCCACCCAGCCGCGCCGCAGCTCAGCCTGCCCCGGGCGGGTGGCCCGCGCCCACTCCCCTTCGCTCCCCTCCCGAGGCACGCCCACGCGCCGCCACCGAACCTCGCCGTACCTTACCATCCCTTCCGTTTTCCCAGAATTGTCAGCTCCCCGTCAGCCCGTTGCTCAGACGCCGGCGGGAGGACTTACGTCCACCCTTCGACGCGTAGCTCATCTCTCGCTCGCCACAACCACATACCAGTTCACCTTCCTCGTCAAGCTCCTCAGTCCCCTGAGAGAAATGCTTGGTCATCCCGCTGCCCGAATCCAACCCTGCCACCCGTTCCCTCCTTCCCCTTCATTTGTCTAGAATTGTCAGTGACTAGTCACACCGTTGCCCCGACCCCAGCATTACCCTCCGCTTGTTTCCCGCCACCGAGAGAAGTCTCGACTCTTCCACAACCACCTCCCAACTCATTTGTCTGCACCTCGCCAAGCTGCTCAATTCTCAGAGGTAAATGCCTTTGCCACCACTCAGATCCCAGCCTAGCCCTCACTCACCCCTCCCTCACTTATTACTGGGAAATTGCGGTGGGCGAATCAATACACTGGGGTAAGTCACCCCTAGAGGGGTGGTTGGGAAAGGAAGTGCATTTATAAACAAAACCATGCAACCCGCAATACACACATACCTCGTGTATTGCGCACTGAACAGGCGTAGTGGACGAGACAGAAATGCTGTTTAATACATGATTGTGATACACCCTCCCCCGTCGCATTTTCACTAGATAAAATATAATAAAGTAGCAAATATGTGCCTTGTTCATGCAGGGGGATGTGGATAAGGAGCGGTCCTTTCTAATTGCAGAAGTAGCTGGTTAAATGATTTAGTTATCGAAAATTAGGGAATACAGTCCGTTGTACGCAAGTTGTGTCACATTAAATTAATAAATGTCTTCGACATAATAAGACAAGGTTTCGGCGGCCTCCACTTGAGCGAAAGTTTGAACGATAAAAGAAATGCTACTCTCAGCGTCGTCAGTTTCAGGGGAATTGCCAAATGCACGCTCACAAGTATGTTTGTCTAGAGAAGAGCATTTCAGTCCAGATTTTCGGCAGCTGCAGGCTTCAGCACGCCAGTTTATTACACTAAGTAAGAGTTCTTATGATTCGTTTCGTATTATTTTAATTAGGCACGTGTGTGCTAGTCGACCTGCACCAATCATAAGAAATATTTTGTCTTCACAAACTTCACTTGTCGGTTGGTGCGACATCCATATTATAGGACTCCATCACTTGTGGATTTATGGCTAAACAAAACTTTGGTTTTATTACGGTCTTTACAAAAACCTTGTAACAGAGTTCATCGAATGCCCATGTTTATCGATCTCTTTATCGTAGAAATCGACAAAACGATTTCGTCTGCTTCAGTAATATGTTTTGATGTAGTTCTGTAGTTTTGCTGAAGTGCTGTATCAGAATATTTGATTCAAATAACACTGATTTCGTTAACCAGTGCCGAATATTTCCTTCTAATGTCTACACTGATTGAATGTATCACATTCAATTAAAACCAGGAGGAAAAGGCTATTTACAGAAAAGCAGATTTAGCTGTTTTATTAAACATATTCGGCATCTTACCGACAGGATCCAAATTATAATTCTCAAAACGCACGACTGCTACCACTTACATAATATTAAATTAACGATAACTTTTGCATATCATAATTAACCGTTTATTACATCGCCACTGCCTCTCAAAAAATTGCAGTCATAAGAAATCCTACAACTACATTATCAACCACTCTCTCTGAAATCCACTCAAAGAGCAAAAACGCTCACAAAAAAATAATGTTAAGGATAAATTCCAAATTCGCGATTCCAGGAACTGATAATACATTAAAATCGAAAGTGTCTATATTGGAATCACGAATATTTAAAATCAAACTCAGTAAATTAATTTAGTAATTGTCTCTTATATTTTAGATCTTTGAAATGGAGCTGAATACGAATTTAACACAAGTTTTGTATTTTTTTTTGTTCCTAAGGCTATTATCCAGCCAATTGTTGGCTGGTCTACGCTTCCAGATTGGCCTAATATTGGACCTTACACCAACAGACTTGCGGGCTCCTCTCATCTGGGGTCTGCGGAACGCTACGCCCCCGCGCCCACACGCACACGAGAGGCGAGGGTCAAACAGCCACGCCCTAAGCGGGACATGAATGATGGTGACACTATCAGACTCTACCTGCGAACCTTGCGCCGAGTTGGTACAAGCTCCTCGCCACCTCGGCCACCAAGGTTGGCAAATATTATAATTTTAGAATTTTTGATTGCAAGCTGCTATCTCCGCTTTTGTGCTGCTCTCTGACTGCAAGTGATGGCACTTTGTGGACTTGAGAACTTCCTGAGTATTGATAGGGTAACGTAATAATAGGGCCTCTTCAATAATAGGCTTCTGTGAACCTTAACAGAGCTTGTATAACAATTTTGCACACATTAATCTGACTAACTTTAAGCAAAACTACGTCAGCCTCAACACTATCATGATGTCATACATTTGTGGGCTGTATTAATGTCCTGCCCGAACACCGCCCCCGAAAGACATTCCTTAATACGGAGAAAAAGAGCAAAACTCTCAGTTCGTGCCTCAGCGGTGTTTCCGCCTGCTCGGGGGTGTCATGCAGATAGGAAGCCTCTGTCTGTAAATATCATGCAAAGCCGCGCGGAGGCCTTGACTTGAGCCGCGGCGCAACAGAAGGAGGAGGAGGAGGAAGAAGCGTCGTGCCAGAGGCCAATTTACGAAATTACTCCGCGTCCACTTAAGAACAAACACAGCCCCGCCGTTATCTCCGCCCGCAAGACGGAGCGACGCCCCGTGCGGAACGTCGGTTCTGAACGCGGCCTTGGCCTCAATGGCGGTAAAAATACCCTCTGCCCCAGACGCGGATCGGGCGCCGGGCGAGGCTGTACAAAATGCAGCACTGGAATTCATATGATATTTAATATCGTTCTCAACTTAAGAACGAAGTATTCGCGTTATCGAAACATGAGAATTGATTATTTCTAATAGGTGCCATTAGCAATCGATATTAATTCAATAGACATTTTACAGAGCGTGCCGTACATATATACATCGATTTACAGAGCGTGCAGTACAGACCAATATCAAATATTTGCGCAATGTGTAAGTTGAAATTGAAGACTTGAATAGTAGCGGCAGTGTGTGCACTGAATTACCATTCTTTTGATTTACATTCTTTTGATTTGCATCATTGATCTCAACATTATAACTATTCTGATCTCAACATTATACTGTTTCGTATGTATGTTCCACAACAGCTGCCCATCAACCACTGATTTGTGTAAAAACTTATATTATTTTCATATTATTACTAAAATATAATGTTATTAAATCAATTTTACTAATATCATATATACAAATAATTACATAAATCTATTACTGCCCCCAAAATTTTGTTGCATTCTCAGAATATAGTTTGTGGCGTAACCTGGTCCCACAGTAAAAAAATATGCAGTAAAAATTCCTTATAACATGATCGAGTGATTGATTAGCATGTGATAAAGGTCACTCGGTAAATCCGATAGATTAGCGGGGTGTCTCTCTCCGCCTTCTGTCCATCACGGTTCCTCCTATTGAAATTCGAGTTGGTTCATTTGCGGAGGCGCCAATGGTGTACGCTGAGCTTCTTCACGCCCTTGCAGATTAGGGAATAATCTACTGCTGGCGATGGGCGTCCACGCAACCACACGTGCGACCCTAACCGAGTTACAACGCGGATGGCGGAATAATGACCGCTCCGTGACATGGTGATGTTCACTGGTAATTGTAGTGCAAGTCTTGCACTTCCCGACTGTGGCAGGTGTCGCGTACTCTCACAAGAGCCAAATTGGTTCTCGAGTTAATAACTTAAGTTATATAAGAGCATACAGTACACAATGACATTTTTATTCATTTCAGTTAAGTGAACACTCATTTTAAGCACTTCTTTATTTTGGATACTTGCATTCGTTTCGAGCCTGATATCCATCTTAATCATCATCCATCATCCCTTACAAAGTCATTTCTACCCCGCCCCATAATACGAGTAATATTGTTTTTAATACGAACTTTGAGTCTCTGCTGTCGCTTCTCGCTCCAATGAATTCCCTCGGGGCGTCCGGTGGGCGATGGGCACAGAGCGCGGAGGGGCTCGCTCCTTCCCACGGTTCACGTCGGCACCGCCACTCCAGCCACCGGCCACAACGGGTATCTTACGAAGAACCTCGGCTAGCCGTCACCAGGATCATGTCCCTCTTCTGACGTAGTTGTAGAGTCACATGCTGTCAATCGAAATGCAGTTTCGATTATTATTATTAAAGCATTTGGCCATACGTTACCCGGGCATTCTCGCAAGTAAACCACATGCAATTGCACAATGTTGGAATATTCCCAATTGTCATAGTCAATATTAGTGACTGATCATGGTCTCTATACGTCGCACAATGAACAGATTGCCTCATCTGCCCAGACACGTACAGTTTAATAAGCCACGTGGCGGCCATTCATTATTGGGATCAATCATACACATGTTCAATTGTTTGTAATACCATCTAATTTCACTATCAACTTCCTTTTCACACTGGCACATTTTATATTCAAAACTACGGTTACGTTCTTGTTGCGAGTATTTGCGGTGACCGCATCGGTGGCAATTTTCGGTGGTACGTGAACCTCTAACGTAATGTTATACAACCATCCTGCTCGCCTCACAGACGCCAACTGCCTCTTCAACCGCCTTCTCGCCATTTCTCGCCAAACGCGGGGACGACCGGGTCGCTGTCTCTCGCGCCGCCCACCCTGTGATGTCGCACTCTTCTATGCTTTCGCCTCTTTTATTAATTATGAGACAACTGAGTCCCATAAACCCCCATGTTGCTGGATTTTTTTTCTGTATGAAAATAATTTTTAACTCGCATGACATGTCAGTTGAATTAGCCAAAGTTGTGCCCCTTTTAACACGCTTTCAGGTTGTAGAAGGTATATTGGTCTACTTCTGGTTGGTCATTTACCAATTCCGTAACGTCAGAAGCTTTGAAATCATATAGGCTTTTTGTTGAATATTACTAGTAGGTTTGTTAGTAATAGAAAGTAAGTAGTAAACGGTAGAAGACATGGAATACGGCATTTTGTTCAAATCCGAGAATATTAATATTTTAGAGTTTTTTTTATTATTATTAATTTGATTGCTCTACGATAATTATTCCTTTTTTATTTAATTACACCGTACGTGTTAGACGATTTACATGAAATATACTCTCTGACTTATACATTGGTGAAAAAAATCATGGGATACTTCATAATGTCAGATTTCATTTTGTCTGGCGAAGTCCACCAACTCGACGTGGCTTGGACTGAACAAGACGTTGGAAGTCACCGGTAAATATATTGAGCCATATTGACTCTTTAACTGTCC